ATGCATGGAGTCGCGGGTTACAACGGGTTGAAACCGTTCAAGCTCGTGGTGGAGAGAGACATCGCGTTGGTGAACAAAGGGGAGGATCATCTCAAGGAAGAGTACAATGTGCCTCCGAAATGGTGGAACGTGAAGAATAAGGCCATGTATCAGTTGGATGATGGGTCGTGGGACATGCGCGACTACATGCCACCTCCTCCAGAGTTCGTCGTCCTGTTATAAATTTTACCTCCGACGTTTAATATGCAAGCAAGAAATCGAATGTTGGTAGATACGAAGGGTGGTTGTGCGTAATAATTGGAGGGTCTTAGTAAGCTGAGTATTTTGGATTATGGTAAGTAATGAATAGATTTTGAATAATTCGTCGGGGGTAACTAAAGATGTGATCAACTGGACACCGCCGGTGGAAGGAGCTTTGGAACTTTTGTTCAACTTTTCTGGTTATATTGTATTGTGCTGTTTTGTCTAAGTTTCAAAAAGAAAATAATTAATGTGTGCACAATCAGTTTCTTGTCCGTTGTGTATGCCCTTGCCTATATCCAACCCGTGTGTTTGTTTATTTGTTTGCAAATGGATGTATGTAGGGGTGTCCGTTCGGGTAGCCGAACCCGAAACCCGAAAAAATCCAAAAACACGAAACCGAACAACATACAATTCGAAACCGAACCCGAAATCGTACTTTGCGGGTTTCGGGTACAGGAATCCAAAAATATGCGGCGCGGTTTCGGATCGGGTCGGGTGAACTCGAACCCAACTGTTGTGATTTTGTTTTTATAACTCTAATTTTTTTTATCTCTTTGTGATTTGATCTTTACATTCTTTTGTTTGTATGAACAATTTTGTTCTTATTATTTGTACATACTTATTAAATATTATGTTTAATTTTTGTGTTTTAAGTTTATTGTTTAATTTTATGGGATATGGACAATATAAAACTAATATTTATATCTTAGTTTATTATTAAAATATTAAATAATTATTAAGATATTTAATTTTATGCATTCTATAACTATTGACATATTATTAACAATTTAGGCGTATTACTAGTTTAGAGACAAAGTAAAATACCTATAAATATTTTATACGTAACTTAATCATACCTTATTTTACTATGTTAAGTAATACAACCTTTTGGGTCATTTAATTATGGGTTTTCATATAATTAAATGTTTTGGTAATATGTTTTCTGCCATAGGTCCAAAATTGAAGGTATATCAACTATCACAATAACTATAAGTTTTAGAAGCGAAATTAAGATAATCAATACGAGTTACATGTTTTTTTGTCAAATTGCACAATGTTTCATATGCAAAAGATTGTTTGGTGTATGACGCAAAATATAAATGGTTTTGTGATATAATATTAATAAGAAAATATAGATGCCAATAATTGTGTTCAATATAAAATAATTAACAATCATAGATGAGATTATCGTCAACTCGTAATTAAACACTTTAGTTTTACAATTATCAAATGATAATATCCAAGTAAAATCTAAGTCCATCCATCATAAACCAGATAAACACTACTACCATTATCACTCCTCCTCATCCGGCTTTACATCGACATAATTATCATCATTCCCATCAGAAGCATCATCGAAATAGTCTTCTTCCACTTCTAACACAGTAGGACTCCGGATCAAACCATAGGTAGAATGAGAGCTTCCACTAGGTCCTGTAGCTTGTTGCTGTTTTATACAGTGATTTAGGATGTGACCAGAAGGCAGAAGCTTCGAACCCAGAGGAGTTGCTCGTGAAATCGGCAATCTCCACTTCTGCACCCTGTCGTCTGCTTTGGTCTCTTCATCGTTGATGGGTGGATCAGCGAGTGCCATCTGGTCGCCGACGAATAGAGGAACCCAGTAACAAAAACCCAAAAAATTAGCTACCGTAAGAAGAACCCAATAACAAATTGGAGTAATAGAAGAATTGTTCAAACACTCACTTGGATTCCCTAGCGTAAAGACCCCCAAGAGAGAAATTGAAGGGAAACCCTCAAAACCTTATATGTGAGCACTGAATCTTTGCGGCTGACAAAGAACAGAGTACGGTCGCGGCGGATTATCAATACCCCGCGTGGCCGCGTGCTCGGCTGTCCACTCCCGGACGCTACCGCATCCACATCGGAGGAGCTGATCAGGAAGTCAGGGTCCGAATCGATGTCGTCCGACGGCGTCGCCGGAACCCCATCGTCACCAGCTCCCCCGCCGTTCCCGTTGCGGAAATCGGCAAGATCCAGCAAAGGATTAGTAGAAACATGCGAAAGAGGGGAGAGATTACCTTCTTCATCTTGCACGACCTCGATCTCGTCAATGTTGGTGTTATCCATGATAATACTACGAGTGTGGGCAACAGCAACGTGAGAAACAAGGTTGTAGAAGAAGAAGAGGAATCTCAGAGATGAACTGAAAGAAGAAACAAGAGGCAGAGCTCGGAGAAAGCAGAATGAACTCCACCCCTGATAGCAAGCCAGTATTTATAGTTGATGGAAGAAAGCTGAAGGGTTAAAGTCACATTGAGAATCGCAACCGTAAGGGTTTTTCGAATTTCAAAACCGCCGCCCAAATAGACCAATCATATAAAGACACGTGGACACCTACTAGATGTAGGCACTAGCCGCTGACGTAACAAGTTCCGCGCACCGGCTGGGGGCATGACACACCAGCGAAGAAGAAAAAATACACACAAAATCCAAACTTAAGCCCGAGCGTGCGCGAATCAAAAGAGCACACCCAGAATCCAATCTCAATCCCGAGCGTCACGCGCAACCATCCCGGAAAATCTCGCGAAGATCACGCAATCCAGACCAGACACGCACAATCAGACTAGAGCGCCTCGCGCGAATCAAAAGAGCACACCCAGAATCCAAACTTAATTCCGAGCGCCGCACACAACCTGCCAGGAAAATCTCACGGAGATCACGCAGACCTAAGCCAACCTCCGAGAAGTCAAACAGGCGGCATTCGCGGAATACCTCCTGATGGGGGGTAATTGTCGGGCATATGACTCGGGTCTAGCCGCGCAAGGGAAGCACCCCGGCATCGCCCCCAGAAAAGTAAAGCCAACGCGACCAAAGCCCTCGCGAGGACCACAAGCGCGGCAAAGCTATCACGCGCGGACAAGGACGTCGGATACTAAACGATGACGTCTAAGCCAAGAGTTGACCAGACCAACAAACCATGGAAAACGACTCTGCAGTTCCCGAGGAGTGGTCACATCACAATCCTAGATAAACCCCCTTTGTCCTAGATAGAAGCCTACATCCCCTGACATGTCAGTAGTCATGTCACCATATCACCATGTAACTCACCCACCATCATGTAGCCTATAGATATGGCATTTACTCCGGTGGGTGAGGGGATCGCATTTTTCAGGCTCTATCTTCACTACAATCAACTTCTCTCTCTAAAATACTACTCTCTCACTCCCATCTTCCCTCTCCCTTGCATTTGTTCTCGATTCTTATTGCTTGCTCTTCTCCACCCCTTTTCCCGAACCTCACTTCTACACTCAGTTAGGTTCAAACCTATGTTTGTCCCGGCTTTTAGAAGTGCTTTTCGGCTTCAAAAGCTGAAGTAGGGCCAAACACCTCAAAAAGTCCGGCTTTTGAAAAGCCGAAAAGCGCTTTTGTATAACATAAAAGCAGAAGCTCCGATTTGGATCTTCTGCGAAAAGCTGTTTTGAAAATACAGGATTATCCTTACCGTATTTTAATTTTATTTCAGAAAACATAATTTTCTTTCATTTATATCATTTTAAAAATAAAATAAATAGTAAAAATATATTATTTAATATAAAATAAGTCTAACAAGATCCATTTTGACTATATTTTATTGTTTAAAATTGTTATTCATAGTTTATATTATAAGTCATTTTACACAACCTCTCATGTTAAAAATCACTTTTAATAGTTTTTCAGTCAAACACTCAACTGTTTTTTTTTGAAAAGTACTTCTCTAAAAGCTAAAGCCAGAAGCTGCTTTTGCAAAAGTTACAGCAGGACCAAACTGAGCCTATGGAACTTTAAAAATTCACCCTTAGCGCACCATATAAGATATGTTGAGGGAAATTTAATTAATAACTGGGAATAATTATGTTATGTTATTATGATTATTAAAATATCTATGAAATTCATTTGAAAGTATTAACTTTCCGAGGGCCATGAACCCAAAACTTTTCTTCCTCACAATTGCACAAGATGCGGGCCACGAGATGGCTGCTTTGTTGAAATTCTGCTCCACAAAACCCACATGAAATGTCTCCAATCTGTTACATATTAAACTGCAATGTGTGAGATCTCCTTTTCAATCAATACAAAATTATTTTTTGTAAAAAAAAAAAAATTGTACAAGCAGGAATATTTGTATATATAAATATCTAGGTTTGAATAATATATGTGAATATCTTGATTGGTACAGTGAAAACGATAATTATACATTTTATTTTTGCATATGTACCATATGTTTTGTTACTGAGCTTTCATTTACCTTATCACTTACCAGCCTTAATATATTTTGTATAACTTATCTATGAGCATTAATTTGTCTCACACCAAGGGTTGAAATACCGTATTGGAGGTTGTACCGGAAAAGTCAACGGTAGAGTATTTTATGCTAAAACGATGGTTTAACCGTAGTTCATCCGCTAAATACCGCTGGTATGGTATGATATTTTCTGATCAAAACGTCGGTACGATACGGTATTTCAATCTTTATCTCACACACGCAAGTTTCCCATGCGTACAGTTCTACCCAAGTTGACATTGGCGCCACGTTGTGAACCCAAATTTCTGAGGCCAGACTTCAGCTATATAAACCTCATCATTCCCTCCTAATGTTTCACTCACCAAAAGAAGAGCAAAGATTAATTACTACACTAATAGTAATTAATTGATCTTAATTTCCTTACCCAGCAAACCCTTGCCTCATCTTAGTGACTCAAACCCAGAAGATCGACTAATGGCCAACTGGAAGAAGTTGAGCGGCGAGGAGCACTGGGATGGGCTGTTGGACCCACTCGAGGCCGACGCATTCAACGGGGAAACCATGTCCAAGGCCTACGGATTCAGCCTGTACCCACCGGAAAACTTCTTCACCGAACGTCTTCCTCCAGAACGCGAATCCGTACAAGTACCAGATCACCAAGTTCCTCTACGCTACCTCGGAGTTCACGCTGGGAGACTGGATCGTCGCCGGACAGTCGGCCTGGCTGGGGTACGTGGCGGTGAGCACGGAGGAAGGGAAGTCGGTTTTGAGGAGGAGGTTCCAGGATGCGAATTTCCCAGCTGTTCCGGTCGGCCAAGTTTATGGGACTACCCATAATCCCAAGGCCCATCAAGGGTTCTTTAGCGTTTATGCTCATAAGAACCCCGATTCTATCTACAACAAGAACATTGCCCGGGAACAGGTAAGTCAAACGTTGGTGTGCAATGGTTTGTCTTGAATCGGACCAAATCAACAACCGGATTTGACCCTCAAATCAAATACAACATGGTTCGGTTCTTTGGTCGCATCAATTTTATTCCATATATTTTGATCCACAGGTCTTTGTTAGACGAATGGGTTTTGGGTCTCTGGTTCGGCCTTGTTTGGCTCATTTTGTATCGGCTGCTCATTACTATCCATTATGTACTCATGCAAAGCCCATGCAAACTATTGTACACGTTGTTGTTAGGGTTTGCTAGGGTTAGGATAGTATATATATGGCTGTGTAACCGAGTGGACCAATTAAGTTGAATAAGAGATCCCTATTCCCCGTGGACTAGTCGGTATTGCTCTCTGCAATATCGGAAACCACGTAAATCTGTTTGTGTTTTCGTTGCTCTCCTCCTGTATGTTGATGATATGGTAGTCACCGGTGATGATACTGCCAGTATTCAGTTGCTCAAGGACGGACTACAGGTCGCGTTTGACCTCAAGGACTTGGGAACCCTCACCTATTTCCTTGGTATTGAGGTCACTCGCAGTTCCCAAGGGATTCTCTTGACACAGACAAAGTACATCACTGATTTGTTAGAGGATCACCAGTTCGAAGATTGTACTCCTGTTCGTTCGCCGATGGAGCTTAACTTGAAGCTTTGTCGTGATTCTGGTGCTCCGTTGGTTGATAGTTCCAAGTACAGGAGCATTGTGGGTATCTTGATCTACCTTGCCGCCACCCGTCCCGACATCTCATATGCTGTGCAGATAGTTAGCCAATTCATGACTGCTCCCACTGTCGACCACCTCTCGGCTGTTCATCGCATCCTTCGCTATCTGCAGGGGTCAAGGGAGGTTGGCTTGTTCTTTCCATCCCAGGGATCACTCTCACTCCAGGCCTTTTCCGACTCTGACTTCGCTGGTTGTACTGACACCCGACGGTCCACGACCGGGTGGTGTGTTCGGTTTGGCCATTCTTTCATCTCCTGGCGGTGCAAGAAGCAGGATCATGTGGCCAAGTCTTCCACTGAGGCCGAGTACCGGTCCATGTCCGATGTTGCTTCAAAGGTTGTCTGGCTCAATCGGTTGTTAGCTGATTCGGAGTTCGGTGTCCACCGGCGGTTGATTTGTTCGTGGATAACACTAGTGCTATCCAGATTGCTCTTAATCCGGTGCTTCATGACCGGACTAAGCACATTGAGCTTCACATTCACTATGTTCGTGACCAGGTTCGCGATGGATCTCTTCGGTTGCACTACGTCGCTTCTGAGGATCAGATTGCCGATCTTCTCACCAAGGCCCTTCCCATTAGTCGTCACTGCTATCTATCTGGCAAATTGATGCTTCGTGACCGGCATTAATTTGGGGGAGGATGTTAGACAAATGGGTTTTGGGTCTCTGGTTCGGCCTGTTTGGCCCATTTTGTATCGGCTGCTCATTACTATCCATTATGTACTCATGCAAAGCCCATGCAAACTATTGTACACGTTGTTGTTAGGGTTTGGTAGGGTTAGGATGGTATATATATGGCTGTGTAACCGAGTGGAACAATTAAGTTGAATAAGAGATCCCTATTCCCCGTGGACTAGTCGGTATTGCTCTCTGCAATATCGGAAACCACGTAAATCTGTTTGTGTTTTCGTTTTCAGCTCAACAGGTATTCTAACAGTCTTGGCAGAGGTGAGAGCACTAGTGGACCAATATCGCGATGAGGAAACGAGCATAACCGTGGTGGGCCACAGCTTGGGCGCCTCGCTTGCAACCCTAAACGCTGCCGACATCGTGGCCAACAACTACCACAAACCAACTGGTTCGACTGCTGGTTGCTTGGTCACGGCCTTCTACAACATGTTCAACGCTCTGACGGACCTGCGACTCCTCCGGATCATGAACCTCCCCGACCCCGTCCCTAACCTCCCACCCAAGCTACTCGGATTCTTTGAGGTTGGGAATGAGCTTCAAATCTTGGTTTCATCCTCTTACTTGAAGTTATTTCTCAACCCCCATAGCCTGGAGCTCTATATGCATGGAGTAGCGGGATACAATGGAATCGAACCATTTAAGTTCGTAGTGCAGCGAGATATTGCATTGCTAAACAAAGAAGACGATCATCTCAAAGAAGAATACTATGTGCCACCAAAATGGAGAAGCATGAGGAACAAGGCTATGTATCAGTCGGACGATGGGTCGTGGAAGTTGCATGACTACCTGCCTCCTCCTCCGGAAACTGTTGGCCTTCTGTGACTTCTCATTCGATCTGGATGGCACGTTGGATGGTTGATGTGCAAGAAAGGGAGATTGACTTAGTGATGAAGTGTCATAGTCGTAAAGGACGAGCATAACTACATCCTCATAATCCCTCATAGAAAAAACGGAATAAATTTGTAGCCCAGTTTGAACCGGGTTGTGTGGAAGAAAACATGAACACAAAATTTAAATAATGTTGTTGTCGAAGTGTGTCATTTTGGTCATTTACGTTTTTATTCCTTTAATTTTGTTTTGTGTCAAATTAGTCCAAATCCAGTTTCAAGGATAGTTGGAGTTTGGAAGTCAAGCCTGTTAGTTTGTTAGCTGGAATAACTATGTTTTTTAGTTGGAATCAAGGGTCAGTGTGGTTACTGAACGTCGGGTTTGTAGGCTGAAGCTCTGTATTTAGTATTCCAAACTTTCATTAAATATAATTTTTGCCAGATTTTCCAAAATCATGTTAACATTATGGTATCAGAGCACACTGCAAACTATAACAAAGTCTGATTATGTGATTATTAAGAGTGAAACATCTGTAATTCTGATTGAAGATTTGCATTAAAGAAGACACACGGAGGTGAGGTGAAACCTCAAAACATAAAGTGTAAATGCTGGAGGCTCATGATGGAGCACCTGTCGAGGTCAATGGAGTAATGGGGAGTAGTACACACAATGGGTTCAAACTTCAAAGAGTCTACTGAAGGTGAGCTACTCATTGAGGCTCAAAAGGAAACTCTAAAGATCATGGACTGAAAGATATGAAAGCTAAAAACCACCTCTTCTACTCAATTAACAAGACAATTCTGTAAACATCACAAGAAAAAGGGAGTTGCAAAGGAGTTTTGGGATGCAATAAAGGTGAAGTGTCGCATAAATGCTTGTCAAAATTGGGCAGCTTCATTAGTACGATATTATGCGCTTTGGTACTTGGATATCCTTCCCAAAAGGTCTCGTACTAATGATCTTGGTGGACACCAATATACAAGGGTTTCTTCCCTTGTATTTCCGATGTGGTACTTGGATTGTCTCATAACAATTCACCGAATGAGGGTCGCACCAAACTGTCGTCCGCCACCACTAACCGAACCAAGCTCTAATACCACTTTTCCGAACCAGATAGCTCCATTAGTACGATATTATCCACTTTGGGCAAAGCTCACACGATTTTACTCTTGGATCCTCCCCAAAAGGCCTCGTACTAATTGGGCTTGGGGGACATTAATATACAAGGGTCCATTCCCTTGTATTACCGATGTGGTACTTGGATTGTCACATAACAATGCTAGGGATTAAAAGGCACAATAGGAGGAGCAGACTCGGTGCGCACATAAGCTTAGACACTATTATATTTACCATTTCCCTTGCGTTTAGTCTTATAATCGAGAGAGTAGCCATATAGCATACATCCTCTGTGTGCCTTGTGTAGCCACAAAAAGGTGCACAATGGTTCTTGTTTCCTTATTGTTTAGAACTATTTACAACATCTCTTACACCGAAATCTACTGGTGCCATAGTTGAAGGCCATACCATAACTTTTGCATTAGTGGTAGAGGACTAATTAGGATAGGTAGCAATCCACTTGACCTTTATTGTTGTATCATTATAGAAAACACCTAGTTCATATGTGGAATTCGTCCCAGTAGCATCACTTAAGAATGAGACCATTGAAATTATCATTGAGATTGCACGAAAATCTAATGACCATATCGTTCATGTGATTCTTCCTAAGGAGAGATAGAATGCAGGTTCAGATTGAACCATAATCATAGGTAAAAATTGATGAAAAAAATAAAATAAATGGGTCCCAAAGAGCCATCTATCGAGAATAGTACTAAGAGACACTCTGAGTGCCCTCCTTGAGTGTGAAGATGGCTTCATGCAGATTTGCAATACGAAATGAATCCCTCTCGAAGAATTATTCGCAAAGCTCTTTCCAAATATTATTAGCGTTGCTGATGTAAATAAGACTATTGGCAATCAGATTTACCGATCTTTGTATCCAACTGAGGAGAAATTTTTTATTCTTATCCCAATTGGAAAACTAGACAATTGAATTAGGTGATGGCTTAGGGATTCGTCCATCAAGAAATCTCCCCCTTAAAAACTAAATAAAAAGAATTATAAATTCAAAATTAATAATTATGGGAGAAGAAAATATCCGACTAGTATTTAATAAAATAAAAATATTCATTTAGTAAAAGTTACAACAAATGCCCTGATGACACGTAAAACTATATATTCTAAACCCTCGTGTTATAATCAAAATTGCGTACAATTCTCATCAATATCGTCATAATGCATTGAATTATTGTTGTGGTTGCTTTAAGTGCGTTTCAGCAGCCCTAAGATTGTTCTTATACATATGATGCGCTTCCGGGTAACATTTTGTGCATTTTCAGGTTTGATAAGCCTAGTGGGCCACTTGGAAGCATAAGGGGACACCGAGCCCAAGTTGTTGGATCAGGAATTTGAGGATCGGACATGGCGCCATTTTGCTGGAGTCAACCACTTTGTTAGTAAGTTTTCTAGAAGCAACATGATTCGTTGGCCATGTAATTGGAGGGCTTCTGATTGCCTGAATGACGCACTAGGCGCGATTTTCTCTTATTGTAAAGTCTAATGGTCAAGGAATGGTCATTACTCTGCCGACAAAGCAACGCTCCTGACTTACAACAAAACAACCATCAAGGGGAAATAGGCAGCGAAATCGGTGCCACTGGGCCGTTTTCTTTGATATAGCCGCCAATATCTTTTGTTGCATAGGTACGTGAACCCTTGGAGTTCTAGCCACATGTAAACTTAATGTTTGTTTTAATACAATTGTTCTTGTACACCTTCAAGGTGCAAGACTCGAAATCCTAATCGTTTAGGTGGGATTAGAACTAGTAGTCCTATTCGATTGAACGTCATTCAATCAAACGGTGTGTCGCCTCAATGAAGAAATTCGAAGGGATCTTGTCGCCCATTAGTTTGGATAAATGCTTAGACACAAGGTGGGATCTAACGATGTAAGAAATTGACAATTTGTATGCTTCAATCATCGAGCGCTCGTGGTTGGGAGACCTAGGGAAATCGATGCCTATGCAGTGACTTCATTTCATGCTCGTTTACAATCTCCAGCATCATAGATTTACATTTCTACACCTGTTTTCCATTTCAAACGCCTGAGTTCTGTGAAACAGAAGAAACATCAACCTCCTAACCGACCTCTTCTTCAATATAACCATACCTCGCTTCCGTAGTAAGGATTCTACGAGAGGCCCGAGAGGGCCAGGTAAATTTGGTCTAACTACACGACAGATCATGCCCACGGCGTGTTTCCGTATTCCAAAAAAGCAGCAAATCAAGTTCAAAAAAAATTAAACAACTACTTACTTGAGATATGCTGATACTTTTGGACAGTTATCCTCAGAGTTGAAGATGACATATCGTCGAGCTAGGTCCATGGTACTATTTTCCAATTCAACAATCTTACCCTTCCCATTTCTTTTTGATACAATTGGTCGGCCAATAATTGGGAATAAAGCTTTTGCATTTTCCCTCACACCCATCCCTTCGTGATTTCTTGAAGGCCTAGTGAATCTTGTATCACCATCCTCACTCAAATACCTTGAGCAGAATGATAGACATTCATTAGCTAGATACACTTCAGCTATGCACGTTTCTGGTTGACTTCTATTTTTAACATAGTCTTTCAAAACACCCAAAAACCTCTCGATCGGGTACATCCATCGAGTTTGCACGGGCCGACCAAGTCTAATCTCCTCTACCAAGTGAATAGGTAGATGAACCATTATATCAAAGAAGCTAGGAGGAAATATCCGTTCTAATTGGCACAATGTCTCGACAATCTCAATTTGCAAGTGATCTAATTCGCTCAAGATTAGCACCATTCGACAAACAGCCTTGAAGAATGAAACAAGTCTGATCAATACGATAGCCAAATTCTTTGGAAAAGTTCTACGTACGACAACTTGGAGCAAGTATTGCATGATAAAGTGAGCATCGTGACTCTTGTACCCTAAGATTTTCTTCTCCTTCACATTCACACAGTGAGATATATTAGATGCACAACCATCTAGTACTTTAGCGCCTTTTAAGACCCCACAAAAAATCTCCTTTTCATGGTTAACATTGTATAACAAGCTTTCACCAACTTACTCTTCTTAGGATTTTCTATTACTGTTGGATGAAGGCTCTATCTAATTTCCATATCCTTTAAATCTAGACGAGCATTTAAATGATCATTGGTCTTCCCCGGAATGTCTAACAACGTTCCCAAAATATTGTCACATACATTCTTCTCAATATGCATAACATCAAGGTTATGACGTAGTGTATTATGCTCCCACTAAGACAATTCAAACAAAATAGACAACTTCGAGAACACACCTCTTTTCTCAATTATCTTCTTTTCTTCCTCGCCGAAGTCACAAATGAATCCAATCAACTCTTCCTTAATCTGCAAACCGGATAATGGTTCCGGCTTCAGTCTGAACTCCATTTTCCCATCAAAAGAGCTTTTGTCTTTCCTCCAACTGTGTTTCACATCAAGAAATCTGTGTGCGCCCATGTAACATATTTTTCGACTCTTATATAAGTACTGAGAGCATGTCTCTTAATTACAACTAGGACAAGCAACGTATCCTTTTGTGCTCCAACCAGATAGCATGGCCAATCCTGGGAAGTCACTGATACTCCACATTAAACAACCATGCATATTGAACATTTTCTTACTATGAGCATCATATGTCATGACTCCTTCATGCCATAAGGTGTTCAACTCATCAACAAAAGGTCTAAGTACACATCAATATCATTCCCAGGTGATTTTGGCCCCGGGATAAGTGAGGAGAAAATCAAGTACTCAGGCTTCATGGACATCCATGGTGGTAGCAACCTTAGAATGGAAGAACAATTGAATCAGTATATGGACACTCTTCACCTCTAAAACAGAAAGGAAGCACAAATGAAATTCTGTAAGTTTAGATTTGATG